GAGGGTATGCGTTGCATGCCTTGGGAGGTAGCATGTGAGTATACGTGGATGGCTCTTTGTTGTTTGACTCTGTAGATGTACCAAAGGAGGACATTCTCCAAGTACAGAAAGGCATCAGATACCAGGCATGGGCTCTTCTAAAGAAATTACATTGTATGGCCACACTGAGATGCTTTAAGGAGAGACTGGCCTTCTCCAAGCAACAGTCCCTTCAGAGGTCCCCAGCGTCACAGCCCATCTCTGTGCAGTGGCCCATGAACTGGCCCATAACCTGAGTATGTCTGAATCAACGCGACTGCTAAAACTTCAGCTGGGGAGGCTTTTTTCTTTGTCATGCGAAGGGGAATAAAGGTGCCGAATTTTGTTGAGAAACTGTAATGATATTTCTAAAAGATATTTCCTACCCCTTGGACATTTATTAAGGCACATAGTATTGCTCATTTGTATTCAAATTGATTGAAATGGATATATGTGAGGTGAAAGCATGTGACTGACAGTTTCTGCTTGCAGGAGACTTCACAGAAGGAACCTTGACTTTATCCGTTCATTCCCCCCTCCTTCTCTTCATCCTAAGTAGCCCAAGTGTGCCACCCTGCAGGGCACATTGTAAATTCTGGCTTTGATTCATCAATAGTCTCAGCAGCTCAAGGCAGCTGCAAACTGTCCAGTTAAAGTGGTTTTATGGCTGCTATATACCTCTGAAGATTTGCAAGCCAGCAATCTGTACCACTAAATCAACCTTTGTCAGTTTTACCAGGCTTTTTGAGAGAACAACAAGAAGGATGCTACCGCTTTACTTCTTAACCTTTGGTGTTTTCAAGAGCCTTTTGTCATTCTGACGTTGTGCCCAAATGCTTGAGGTTAATGCAGGATTTATTACTCATCTTTATTGTTTGGGTTCTGTTTTGCTGTTTATTAAAGTCCTCTTATTAAAGAGTTTGAAACAGCCACCTGTCTATAAATCAAGCTACATAAATAAACCACTTTCTACCAGAGGAACATGATATTTAGGGTTTGTCCACAAGGGAAAATATTCTGATATAAGTGGGAATGTCAATGTCAAGAGGAAACGCGGTGGCTAATGTACCTCCAGCGCTTGAATGGATGCTCCCATTCTGTGCTGAGTGCTTCCTCGTGCCTCAGCTTAGTTTGATTTGGAAGCAGGGTAAGATAAACCATAAAAAAGCACTCAGGGGATATCAAGACTTTTTCCAGACTGACCTTGAGCTAGCGGAAGCCAGGGACATGGAATGGGCAGGGTGTGGAACAGCTGTTCTGTTACAGCCCTGCCAGGTTGTTTCCTTCAGATCTACTGTTTGCACACGGTCCATTTCCCAAATACCTGCTCATCTCTACCTGGTAGTTTTGCGTGATCCTTTCTTGTGAAGCTGATTTTCTTCTCTTGACGTTTGAATACACAGGCACAGCCTGTGTCGTCTTAAACATCCACAGTCACCAAGAGCAGGGAGCTGGAAAGCAAGGACAATAAAACCAGCATGATATTATGCATCTGAATCATCAAGGAGAAATGGATAGTCAGCTTCGATCTTTGAAGAATGAATTCAGTCAGCTGCAATAATGCTAATACAGCTTAGACCAGGACTTTTTGTTATGTGTCTACAGGACACGCTTGATCTTGACCAAACTCAAGTGACGTGTGGGAGACATTCTTGGCCATCTGTGATGCTTCCTAAAAGTCCCATCAAAATAGTGGACATGGGTGGCACATGGAAGCTCCTTTATTTACAGTTTAAACATGACTGCCTTTGAATTTGGTCCCTGTGTCCTCACTGGGATTTGCTATCCTGATGCTACAGAAGCCAGAAGCTATCTGTTGAAGGGGGACAAACTCTTTTCCTTTGGGGAGGGGAGCAAGAAGTTAAGTCCCTGTAGAGATATCAAAAGAGAGAATTGGGCTGGAAGTTAATTTATTCCCTGCAGTAATGCCACAATATCATTTGTAGGATCCCTTGCATCAGCTGAACTGGCCTGTACACAAAAAGCAGGTTACAGCTGTCAATGTTCTCTGTTACCAAACCGTGGTACCTCTGGTATTTTCAAACTGTATGCAGGCCAGTTACCCGTGGCTGTAGGGGAAAGACGCCTTGAACAGTCATTCAGAAAAACTTACATGACTAGCAGTGCCTGCTACAGCTCTGCTGCGAACAGCACTTCTGCACTTGTGAAAGGAATGACAAGGAATGACATGTGGAAACTCCAGCTACAAGCTGAAGCTCATTTCCATTTTTTAAAAGCAGAAATCTGCATTTAGATGCCAGTCTCCAGAAGCTGCTAACAACAAAACAAAGCAGGTGGGGAATTGCTGCCCTTGTATTTCGGGTGAGGAGTTGTAACTGACTTGGGCCTTTTACTTGAAAAAGTTTGCAATTACGCTAGAATTTTCCTCTTTCTAGTGCTGCTGCCTCCTGATGCGGCTGTAATAATGAAAGGCACCTTTTTACTCTGTCGATACCATTGTTTATTTTATCTCTGCAGCTCACACTAGGTCTTTGAATGAAATGAAAAAACGACCCTGCTGTTATCAGTACAGGGCAGAACCGGACGGGAAACTTGCGGTATTGCTCTGACTAGCGCTGTGTCTTCACGCAGCTGAAGTGTAATGCTGGGAGGCGCTGGGTGCCTTCAGTACCGCTTCAACTCATCTGAAAAAGAAAAGGAAAGTCAAAGCATTCCCCACCTCCCTGGAGGTGTTCGGCACCCCAGATTAGTCAGCCGTGGCTGGGCAATGTGGCTCCTGCAGGTGACCTCTCCCTCCGGGCCGTCAGATGGACTGACTCGGACCTTTTTAGGCAACAGCTTTCCTGGAGTCACTGGAGGTTTCCATCAGCTTGACCCAGGAGCTGCCACACGCTGCATGAGTTTGCACCTCACCCACTGGCTGCTCATAGCCCAAGTTCAAGCATTTAGGGCTTGTGCAGCAGAAAGAGAAAGGGCAATACCGCAGGCTCTCCACCAGCTTCTGCCCTGGGCAGATAACAGCACTTTTGTAAATTGGCCCAAGGCATTGCCATGACTCAGTTCAAAGCTGTGCAGATAAAATAAGCTACAATGTTGTTAGAAAAATAAAGAGCAGCAGTGTTAGAAAAATAAAGAGCTTTGCAGAAGCTCCAGAAGCACCAAAAGAATGGAACATTTGAAGAGAATAATAGTCTAATATTATTATTACTGTTATTATTATTGTTTTGTACTGTGCCTGGACTCCACAGCCTCCCTCTAGGACTGGAACTGTTATGCTGGGCACTGGAAATGTGTGAAATGAAGAAACAGCCTGTGCTTTTAAAGGGCTCCCAGTCTAAGCACCCGAATGGGAAGAAGGGAAAGGAAGGGAGGTAGAGGGAGGTACCATTGAAATGTTGATGTTGAGAGGATGAGTTTCAGGACTCATCTGTGAACCAGTAATCACATTTTTGGGCGCACAGGGGACAAGGTAAGGCACAACATCATCCTCACATCATAAGAAAATTCTTCTGTAGTTAATTTTTTCTTCCTCAGAAGCCAAATACAGCATCTGTGATTTCTGTTCAAAGATGCCAAGGGGACTGAAGCTCTCAGGTTATGCTAACTTTCCACAGGAGTCAGACTCCTAGCTGCTTTTATCCAAACAGGGCTGCATTATCGCTCCCTGCTTCACAGCTCCACTTTTGCTGTCTTCACAGCACATCATCCCTTTTGCTGTCTGAACATTGCCTCTCTTGGAGAGACAGCATCCATTTGCGGGGAGGGGAGGAGACAGATATTGAAAAAAACCCACAACCAACAACCACAGAAACAGCAGCTGTTTGATTTTTATCAGACACTAGCAGCATTTGCAGAAGTCCCTGAGGAAATGGCTGAGTGGGCTTGAATCAGATGGAGCAGTCCAAGGAGAATGGACTTCATCACCTGGCCTTGCCGATCATGACAGGACAAGGACGCAGCACATGCCCCAGGGGAAGACAAGATTTGCACGGCTGCCATCGCCTTCAGGGCTGTGCTTAGAGAGAGGAAACCTGTAGCGGTTGGCAATACCGTAAAGGGAGCTTCACAGTCCTGCAGGGTGAACCACATCTCAGGCTGTCTCATATTGGTGTCTCTCAGTGCTTAATTTGTCCCCATAGTTCCTCCAGCCGTTGCTATGGAAAGTTTTTTTAGCATTTAGACTGTGTCGACTGTATGGAGATTACAGGGAGAAAAGAAAAAGACCCAATGAAAGATTACTCTCAGACCTATGACAAAAATTTATCTTTCCTCCTAAAATCAGGATTTCACAACCTAGTCAGAAACCAGTACTCAGAACACATTTAATCCTTTCACAAAAAACAGCCCAAGACCACTCTTGATCCACCCCAGAAAAGAAAGACATGGTATCATCTTGATCATAGTTGATAAAAGCCTCTGCCAAGGTGGCAGGAACCAAGGAGCAAGTCTGGAGATCACTACAGGGGGCTCAAGATCCAATAACATAAGGAGTTATACTTTTGTTGCTACTAGGTGTCATGGGACAGTTGGATGGAAGCAAATGTGTTCTACCCGTGACTGAGGTTTTTTGAAGGAGAGAGGGAATTCAGATTAGAGCAACTGCAAAATCCTGTGTAACACCAGTGCTGCTCTTCCCTGCCCTTCTTTGCTGGGAGCCTGTAAAAGTAGTGGCAGCACAAATGCCAGAGCCACAGCTTAGTTCACGAAACTCAACTTCTGCACGACCAATGTTTCACACAGCATCCTTTCTTAGTGTGGCCCCAGCAAAATGTCACAACAGGGTTAGCACTGTGCTGCTGCTGAAATATGAGACGCAGTATTTTTCCTTCCCCTGTGTAAATTCAGTTTGCTTTGGGACGTCTATCAATCGTGGCTCTATCCGTTAGTGTTCATTTGTGTTCTATAATCATTAATTCTTTGAGAAATATCTGCGTATAGCTAAGAGTGCTTTTGTTTATTTTTTCTTGGAGACTGTTTTTTATTATTGTGTTTAACTTCTTCTTTCTCTAATCCACCTTCAGGTATCTCCATGCCTATACCTGTCTTTGGACTACAAGATGACTCCAAAGTGTTTAAGAAAGGCAGCTGCTTACTTGCGGATGACAATTTTGTCCTAGTAGGCTCTTTTGTGGCATTCTTCATCCCTCTAACCATCATGGTGGTCACCTACTTCTTAACTATCAAGTCGCTGCAGAACGAAGCTATGCTATGCGTGAATGACATTGGCCCAAAGACCAAGTTTGCTTCATTTAGCTTTCTCCCTCAGAGTTCCCTGTCCTCAGAGAAACTCTTTCAGCGCTCTTTGAACAGAGACGTGGGGACTTCTGGGAGGAGAACCATGCAATCCATCAGCAATGAGCAGAAGGCTTCCAAGGTTCTTGGCATTGTCTTCTTTCTGTTTGTTGTGATGTGGTGCCCGTTTTTCATCACCAATGTGATGGCTGTAATTTGCAAGGAGTCATGCAATGAAAAAGTCATTGGAGGACTACTTAACGTATTTGTTTGGATTGGCTACCTTTCTTCGGCTGTCAACCCACTCGTATATACGTTGTTCAATAAAACCTACCGCTCAGCTTTCTCTCGTTACATTCAGTGTCGCTACAAGGAGGAGAAGAAACCTTTTCAGCTGATCTTAGTGAACACCATCCCAGCACTTGCATATAACTCCAGCCAGCTCCAGCTAGCACAAATGAAGAGGTTGAAAAAAGAGGCAAAAATGATGGCTAAGGATTATTCAATGGTCACGGTAGGAATACATCATTTGGATGGCACCTCCAAGGGGAGTATTAGCCCAGCGAACGAAAAGGTTAGCGGTGTGTGACAGTCAGCAGCTGCCATGACAACCACCATGCGTATGCTGAAAATTTCATCCGGCTGTGAGAAGCTCTGATAGCTTAGGAAAATCAGCCCTATTCAAGAGACCCTCCAATAACATCACATACTCCTCATATTATCTTGTGGATGAAAAGCAGGGCTGAAATGGTATCAAATGTGCAATTTTTTTTCCTACAGTACTTTGGCTGTTTTAAGCACAGGCTTTATTAAACTTATTTTTTTAATATTCTAAAGGATATATTTCTTAAAAAAAGAAAAAAAAAGCAATTTCTGGTATTATAACACGGGCTGTGAAGAAACCTACACATTTCTTTTCTCTTTGCAAATGAAAGCTAAGCTGTTCTTTGATGTTCTCGCAGAGTAGGCTCCAGCTAGTTTGTCTTGCTACAATGGAATTTTGTTATCATTAACTGAATGAGCACTTTATGGAATTTTAAATAAAATGATGGTTAATTTGCTAATATATATTTAAAATAAATTTTAAAGTCTTAAAGAAAAATCTATTAAAACCTGTATAGATTAATTATATGGACATTTTGGTAACAGTGGTTTTATGGCTATTTTTTTCTTCTGAGTGACCATTCTGAAATGTTACTAGGTTTTTCTGCCATTCGTTCTATAGTTCAAATTAGCAATCTTCAAAGGTAAATTATACTTGAATGATTCTTTGTTTCTACCACCACTCGTAATCTTTATTTCATGTCTTGTACTTTATTTCCATTCAAAAAGTCTAATCTGTTCAGCTTAAAACTTGAAAGTAATTTTTTCAAAAGTAATTATTGGGCTTGATTCCCTGCTCCTTCCCACTGGTGTGGACAGGGGAGCGAAGTGAGAGAAGAGTGGAAAATCAGGCATCACATTGCTAAATAATATCAGGAACGATTCCATGTCCATGCCTCTGTTCGATTCCAACAGAGTCTGATTTAAGTAATGTCAGTGGAAGTTTTGCATGAGTAAAGCCTTCAGTAAAAGGTTGCAGCAGATCCTCTCTCATCATTTCTCTTTGGTTAAAAAGGCCATTATGAAGACGTCCTTCTGATTTTGTTTTGGGGCTTGTAGAGCCAGAATTATTAGAAAACTGTTAGTTGCTCAAAATTGTTTTCCCTGGTTTCGCTGTTTTGCTGTTAGGGTAGATTGCTCAGGAACAGTAGGTTGCTTGCACTATAAGGACTCAGCCTTAATGAAATATGTATGGGCAAATGGGGCCCACTTGAAAAATAACAGGATTTATAAGCGGCACTGTATTTCACCTGCATAGCTCCAAGGGCAGAATACATTACATAAAGAACATCAAATACATTGCTTGACAGAAATGCCTAGTCATGAAACTGTTTGCTTTTGGGCATTGTAGACAATTTCACTGAAGCCAGCGGGACTCTGCTGGAGAGCAGAAATATAAATGTTGCATCCGCCTGCAAAACCTAAAACTAAGCATTTGATTTGTTCCATTAATTTTGCAACCATAATAATCAGAAGCAGGATGTATTCCAGTTTCAGATCCTGTCCACTCTGAAAAAAACACTGCTTACCCAGAAGCCAAACTCCAATGACTTCCTCAGTCCTTCTTTTGAAGTTGTTCGGTTTTCACAGACCAATTAAATTTCCACTAAGGCGAAGCAAGAGAGAGACAGAGAGAAACTGAATCTGATTCTAGCCTACCAGCTAGGGGTCTTTGGAAGAGGAAGACTTTTAGCTTAAAATACTCATCTGTGGTAGATGAGGACTTAAAACTTGGCTGGGTATTTGGCTGATTTCCAAGAAACTGCTTTTATTGTTCTCTTGCCAGTATGATAACTCAAAGTGCCATTTTTAGGAGCCATTTCCTTCTGCGTGGGATAGGTCAGAGCCACCATGCACAGGTCACCCAGGAGCTCTATGTGCACATGGTGACACTGACTCACTCCACAGCCCTCAGCCTCCACGCCTGGGTCAAAGCGTCGTGCTGCAGTCCCGTCGCAGCGATGCCATGCATGTCATCCGTTGGCTCGTGGCCATTAATGGTTTTCCCCCCCAAAACTGGGAATTTAGGATCATCTGATAAATCAAGCGGTATAAACGCTGTGCTCAGCAAGGTGGTTTATACGGTCTCTCTGGCTCTGGGTACACTTGATTACCACAACCAAACTGAACAGCTTCAGCAAAAGGAAAAATGAACTCGCTGCTCCTGCCTCCCTATGCACGCCCTGCTCCCATGCAGTGCCGTGTGAGGGGTGCCACACAGGCACAGAAGGGATTTCACGGGGAATCTGCTAAATGCAGCTGAGCATGAGGACCACCGTAGTAGTAGGGGCGAGAAGTGACTTTCCACTGTTTCCTGACGAGTTTGATATAGACTCCAAATCAGGGGGTTTGAGCGAAGGACAATGGCCAGCTCGTATCACAGAAGCCAACCAGGCAAGGGATGGAGCACTGACTGAGCACAAGTGGTCCAGGGCATCCCACAAAACAGGGTATCTGGTGTTCAGATGTCTCCACTCCACAACTGGAGTGATGGTTTTGAGGATTCACCCTTAGGAACGGGCACCCTAGGGAAGAAGCAGGCAGTAATAAAACCAAAGGTCTTTTGTGAGTAGAGGTCTGAGGCTCGGGATCTGCCACCAAACCAGATTGCCTTCATATGATGAATACTGACACAGGATCAAAGGTCTCTAACCCTGTGTGTGAGGGGAAAGGAAACACAGATGCTTCCACCAGTGGAGGGAATTACCATGTTTTGTGCAATTTGTGCCCATCTTGCTGCGTCTCTGGTCTTGCAAGAGAAAGAAGCAGATGGGACGGACAGCTCAGGTCCTACTGGCCATTTGTGCCAGGGAGCAGAGCCTACCTGCATCCTGTACGATGTATATGGCACCCTGCGCTTCTCCGAAGCTCAATTCCTCCCAAAACTCCTCAGGGTGCGGTTGCTGGTCTGCGCAGTCTCCTTCACCAGCTTGCGCTTGATAAACTTTTACTGAGCATTTAACGTTCACTGCTTATGCTCTCCTCTTACCGTCTGCATTACGCCCACGTGGCAGAGCAAATCAGCCATCCCCCCGTTTCTCTTTCATTTCACCTTCTGTTCCTCTTTCACAATGTCAAATTGCTCAGGTTGCAAATACTGACAGGGAATGTTTCACTACAAACAGAGAGGGTTTCAAATAATTGCTTGATGTTTTATTAGACGATGACTCTGAACAGTAATTTTTTTCCAACTTATTAAAATAAAACCTATGCTTTGGACTTAAAAGATTTGACAGCATTTCTTTAATTGACAGCTGGAGGTAACATAACACTTATTTTTTGCTTAGAAGCAGGAATATGTGATGCCTGACGTTTTAATTCTGCGAGCACTCAGATAGGTGGGTTTGAGTGATGAGCAGCTTTTGCCTAAGAAGCCTCTCAAAGCCAAGAATGCACAGCAGATAAAGACCAGTATCTCCAGCTCTTTATGGACATCTTTGACAGTTTAGGGAGGCCTGATTCTGCCACCTTGCACCAAAATGTTAATGTATTTTTGTGTGGTTTGCCTTAGTGAGGATGACAGAGTCAGCGTCTGAATTTGTTCTACCCACCATGCCAGATCTGCGGGAGGTCGTTCATCAGTAGATAGCAATTAATAGAGTCATTATATATCAGACAGATGACAAAGTTCAGCTGTTTTAAACCAGAATTTATAGCACTGGGCCCACGCTTGGGATGAACGCTACAGTTTAGTATGACCAGCTTCAGAGCAACACTTCCAACTTGCAAAAAAAAGTGAGTGTTTTCATTATGCATCAGACTGGAATGGAAACTTTTGTGATTTTTCCAGGCAAAAAAAAAGAAGACATTCACACAGACTAGCTCAGAAGTTAGGGCCTTCCCCTACTTTACAGGAAAAGCATGCTGAGTCAGTCTGTCATATCTGCATCCAAAAAACCCGCTTGGTCTGAAATAATGTTTTAATCAACAATTTTTCAAGTAGATCGACATTTTATTACTGTTAAGACTGTATCTGAAAAATGTCCAAAGACATGAAGCTCACCATGTATCTCCTAAGCTGGTGTGCATCCTTTATACACTTCAGGGTAAAAAATCCTATGTATCTATCCCATCCAGCCAACCACGCACTGTACTTATGTAATTATTGCCAGACGGTGAGATGCATTCTATTTTGAATACCTATATGTTTGCTTATGTAAATACATAGAGAAAAACATTTGCTGTATTTTGTAATGTTAATGTAAAATGGTGTTCCAATGCTTTATTGTTTTGTCAGATTCCACTGCTAGTAAAGCAGATTAAAATATTTAAATGCCATCAGTTGTTTTATAAACTGGAGCTTTGTCTTACGTAGTTGTTTTGGTTTGGTTTAATTTCTCCCATACATATTCACAGTACAATGTCTGCTGAAGGCTAAAGTGATTCTAAATGTCTTGCTTGACAAAGAGAAAGAGCATGTTGCAGAATTTAACTATCTCAGTAAACTGGTCCAAAATGAGCCATTGCAATCATTCTCTTTTCCTAAGGACAGCCGTTCTTCTACTGAAAAGGTATACTTTTTGGATAAGTATAAAACATTTCAGTCTCAGAAGAAACATACTTGCAATAGAAATAAGCCAATTAAATTAATTTCACTAAGAAGTAGCACTGTAAGATTAAAATTAATAAGCAGCATTAATAAATAGCATTGCACAGTTGCACAGACATAAATGGATGAAGTTGCTAAGCCACTATCCATCATATTTGGGAAGTCATGGCAGTCTGGTGAAGTTCCCACTGACTTGAAAAGGGGCAACATAACCCCCGTTTTTAAGAAGGGAAAAAAGGAAGACCTGGGGAACTACAGGCCAGTCAGTCTCACCTCTGTGCCTGGGAAGATCATGGAGCAGATCCTCCTGGAAACTATGCTAAGGCACATGGAAAATAAGGAGGTGATTGGTGACAGCAACATGGCTTCACTAAGGGCAAATTCTGCCTGACAAATTTGGTGACCTTCTACGATGGGGTTACAGCGTTGGTAGATAAGGGAAGAGCAACTGACATCATCTACCTGGACTTGTGCAAAGCATTTGTCACTGTCCTGCATGACAT